GCTCTGATCCCCTGGCCCCTCTCTGCTCTGATCCCCAGTTCCTCTGCACCCTATCCCCTTCCACCCTGTCCCGATCCTGCCTCCCCTCCTGCTCTGGTGCCCTCTGCCCTGGCCTGGTAGGTGCAGCTAGCGGCAGCGCCTTGGGAGCTAGGCCCACACAGAGATGCTGTTTGCCCCGCAGGGGCCTGCCTGGCTCATGGGAACCCCGTTTCCCCTCCAGGACAGGCTGAATGCCACGTCCCCCTTCCTGTTCCCAGGCCAGTGGAAACATCACTAACACCGCGGCTCCCACGCCCCTGCTTTGGCTGGATTGTGTCTTCTGAGGCTGCTGTTGAGTTCCTGGGCCTATCTCTAGGCTCAAGCTCTCAAGGCTTTAAGCTCCAGTGGTCCCCGGTTCGATCCCTGAGACGACTCAGCCAGGCACCCTCGTAGCTTTGCTACAGCCCTAGGCTGGGCCTGGCCTGGCAGCCACCACAACGGAGCAGACCCTGCACTACCTGCAGCCTTGAACCCCAAAGGCGGATCTCCTCACCCCCATACAGCCCCCCCACCTTTGCAAGTTCCCGCGTTGCCAGACCAACCCCCAGCAGCCCACGTGAGATCCCGCCACATCTTGCTTTTTGTTTCTGCCCATGTTGCCTCTGGCACGTCCTTTTCCAATCCTCCTCTGCACCCCCATCCCTACCCGATACCCTCCCCCACCTTCACACCCTGTCTTCCAGGTGCCTGAGCAATTCTGGCCATTTCTACACAGCACTGAACACCTGTGGCTGTTCAGGAGCAGAGGCGGCTCCCAGATGACCACATGATCAGTGCCTCTGTCCTCGTCCTGCCCCATCGCCTCCCACACCTCCTGTCGTTCTCGTGGCCTGTAAGTTCTCTGGGGCAGGGACTCCACGGGGCTGTGCACCTCTGCAGCACTACATAGGGAGCAATAGTGGCGCTGTCTCCTATCGGGGCATCTGCTGCCCAATTTATGCAAGGAAATATTTATTTTACGCGGTGCATAACTGGCCTGAGGAACTCACTGCCACTGGATACCACTGAGGCCAAGAGCCCTGGAGGAGTCAAAGAGAGATTGATAATGAGAACAGACCCAGCTACATTATGGGTTAAAAGATAGGGCTATAACCCTCCTGCTTCAGGGCCTGAGCCACCCTCTAACTGACAGGGTCAGGAAGAAACTCCTCTCTGAGCAGGTTGTTCCTTAATTGTCCATGGCGGGGCGAGTCCTTGCACCTTCCTCTGAAGCAGCTGGTGCCGGGCACTGTCAGAGCCAGGATACTGGCTTAGATGGTCTCTGGTCTGATCTGGGCTGGCCCGGCCTGAGTTATGGGTCCGGTCTGCTCTGCTAGTAAAGTTTGCAGAGAACCAGGCCTGAAAATAAAGGCCTAGACCAACCAAGGAAAGTCTCCAGCTCAGACAGGACGTGTGGCACCAGAACACGGTCCACTGCATTCCGGGGCATCAGCCAGGAACAGAACCCACCCTTGTCCTGCCGCCAGGCCGGGCATTAGCCACACGCCCAGCCTTCCTGCCCCCCAACACACTGTTCTGCTCCCACTCATGGGTAGCCCCGCTGTGGTGCGACGCAGCTGGAATGCACCGCAGGCCCCAGCCAGACGGGGCGGGAGGAGCCGAGCAGCTGGCTCAGCCCAGAGCTCTTCTGGCCGAGTCCTGAGCGGACTGGAGGCCTCCGAGGGCTTAGAGTGAGCTCTGCAGGAAGCTCAGACCCTCGTCTTCCGGGCGCCTTGGCACCTGCGAGGCAGTGCTGATCCCAGCAGCTGAGAGGCCTGCTCCTTCACCCAGCAAGCAGGGTAAGGGTCTGTCCCCCTGGCCCTGCTCAGCTGGGCCTCTGGGGATGGGGGGGGGGGGGGGGATTGAGGCACCTTGTAGCTTGGGTGTTCCCTTCCTTTGTCATGACTTGGTGCCCGGCCTCCTGCCCCTGCGCCCCACCCCCTCTGCTCCTGCTGCCCAGTGTGTCTGCCAGGCAGGCGGCAACACATCAGCAGTACAGCTGGAAGGGGAGCCCAGGTCTCTGCCTCCCTGGCTCAAGCCACTGGGCCAGGGCGCTGCACAGGTGGAAGCTGATCTCTCAAGATCTTGCAAAACACACAACCACCCCATGGTGCTGCTGCAGATCCAGGGCCTGGGCCTGACTCCGGGGGGCTGGGGGATCTCAGTGCAGGAGGAGGGGGCCAACAAGCTCTCCACTCCTTGAGAGGCTCTGTGGTCAGCTGGCTCTGGTGTCATCCCCTATAGTGTATCCAGTTACTCAGCATTCTGGTAAATGACTCAGCCCAGCAGAGCGCTGTAACCTGAGAGAGCCATTCCCAGCGTCCCCCCCGAAACAGCAGCTCCCCACCAGTCAGCGTCCCTGAGATCACCCAGAGTGACACACCGAGAGCAGCCGGGATTCCATGTGGGGGGGAAATGATTTCTGGCCTCAGTTTCCCCAGACGTAAGACGGGGTGATAATTTGGGCCGCACCCCAGCACGGGGGGAGGGGGGTGTATGGGTGAACATGGGTGGCAGTGAGGTGACATTAAGAGTGCCCTTCTGGTGTGGAGGGCGTCCTGTTAACCTAGGCATCAGCCAGCAGCAGGAGGGAGGATGGGCTTGTGGGCGAGGCACTAGGCAGGTCTGGCTGAGCCCGTGTTATGGGGATGGAGCCGTGCAAAGACCTGGGTGGAGAGTATCAGTGCAGAGGCATTACAGGACAGGAAATGACATTGTTGGGGTTGGATGGGTGATGTGGTTCGGGTGTCTGGTCTCCGGGTATTGTCTAGCTCTGTCCCAGACAGTGCAAGAGAGGTGCAATCCCCACTGACATCCTCGCCCCAACTCGTCTGGGGTTGGTGGCACGCCGGGAGCTCCCTTGGTTTAACACCAAACGGCATTAAAGGAAGCTAAAGTCCACGTGCCCCTTTCCTGCTTAGCCACATGCAATCGCTGTGGCTGCCCGGGGGTGAATGGAAGGGGGAGGCATCCAGCATCCAGACAATCTCTGTATTCAAACGAGGGCCACACTATGAGAGGGTGTGAGCACCCCTGGCGCCCCACGTCTCTCCCGTCAGGCATGCCAGGGCGTTAATAATCCCACATCTGGAACTTACAGGGCATTTGGCCCGCAGGCCCTGCCTGGAGTCTCAGGGGTGGTGCACGGTGCAGACTAGACCTCCAGATCCAAATACCCCAGGGGTACCAGAAATACGTCTCCAGAGTAAACATCCAAACGAAGCGCCTCGCCTTGGTAAGCACGGGGGGAACAAACGGTAACAAGCCGATGGGAATGTCCCCCAATGTTAACATCTGCAGACACGTGACAAGCAAACCACGGCAGCAGCGATACGGATCACGTGCCGGATGGGCAGCAAAGGGCGCTCCCAGCAGGCCGAGCAGAGCGGGTGCCCACCCACGAGCTGGTGCTCAGTGAGCAGGAACAGCTTGTGCCCTGGCAGCGCTTTTCTCCCGAGACCTCCACGCGCTTTGCAAACACACAGGCGCTGAACCTCCCGACCCCTTCTGGCAGGAGGGCACGCCCCATAGCAGTGCCTGCATTTTACAGGTGGGGGAATTGGGCACGGAAAGGCTTGGGCCAACATTTTCAGAAGTGGCCAGTGATTTGGGGTGCCTCTATTTCTGCATAGCCAACCTGCAACACCTTCGGAGTGGCTAGGGTACTGGACTGCGATTTGGAAGAGCTGGGATCTTTACTGCTGTGACCGTGAGTCACTGCCTTCTCTGTGCCTCGGTTTCCCCTGGCCTGTCTTATCTATTTGGATTGTAAGCTCTTTGGGGCAGGGACCGCCTCTCTCTCGGGGCAGTGCCCAGCATGATGAGGCCCTGATCCCTGCCTTAGGGTGTGAGTCTAAGACAAATAATTAATTGAAAATTTTTGCCTAAAAGACTTGACCAAGGTCACAGAGCAGGTGAGTGGCAGAACCCAGGAGTCCTGCCTCTCCCAGTCTCCTGCTGAAGCACGCTGCCTCCCCGGTGATCACGACTAGCCTTGCTCTCCAATCTGCCTCAGCTTCCTCGGGACTAAGAACGCCACTTCCTGAGTCCAGTTCTCACTTCCTTCCGTGAAAATCCCCTTCCCTGCCTGACAGGCTTACTCCTCAGCACATCCCTGCCCGTAGCGAATGATCGCCCGTGGCATACCAGGGGCACGGCCGGCCCAATCGGGAACACACACTGCAGAGTCCCATAGTGACACCAGGAACCTCCACAGTGAGCCAGGCTGTGGGGCTGCCTCCCCGTGCCACACCCTGCCAGCCGGAGCCTGGGAAACGCCCTGCCTGGAGAGACACTGGGAGCCGCAGGGCTTGGGAAGTTTCTCACTACTCACGTCCCGTCGCGCGTTCACCCTGGGGATCCCCACGTCCCAGACACAGCATGTGCCTTGGGCAAGATCGTCCCCAGGCCCTGCCGGGAAGGCAGACGGGAGGGGCCAGGTCGAAGGGGGGAGAGGAGAGCTGCGTGGGCACGAGGCCTGCTCCGCCCTGAGACAGGGGCTTCCCACCTGGTGACAGAACCACGTGGCTGGCTCTGCATCAGGGCACACGGGAGCTCTCGGTAGGGCTGGGCAGTCACTCAGAAAGACTCTACCCCCACTGACACCCGAGTGACTCCAATGGAGCTCTGCTGGATTCACACTGCAGCCCCTGTGAACGGGCTGGCCCCTGGCCTTTCGCCACCGGGGTCCTGTGCTCCCCTCTGGGCCACCCCACCTGCCGGAGGGGCAAGGTGTGGGCAGGGGGTGGCCCAGAGGGCAGTGCCAGCAGGAACGTGTTGTACGGCACAGAGCTCCTCCCCTGTCACCTCCGGGCAGATGTAAACCCAGGCTGCAGGGGCTTCCCCCGACCCTCCCAACATCCCATCGGGACCTCCCTGCCCCTGCTTGCCCCCCTGGGCGCCAGTGCCACCAGACCAGCAGCGGAAAATCAAACCCAGGCACCCTCCTGGCTTTGAAGGGCAGCCAGCGCCACGGCACTCACCGTGCGATGCCCCGGTCACCGTCGCATCCTCACGCCAACCGGAGACAGCCGTTCATCATCGGTCCCCCCCGAAAGTGCCTCCCGGGGCTCCCTGTCTCTCATGGAGGCCGTGGGGAGGGAGCCCCACGCGCTGCTCACAGCCTCTCAGCTCCAGCTGGTGACTAAGGAAACTGCCGGCTTTGGCTTTCACTTCACAATGGGAACAACAGCAGCATCCTGAACAAAGTGTCTGTCCCCCCGGGACCATCGGCGGGGAGGGGGAGTCACGTGGGCCCGTGCCCCTCAGGCACACGCCAGCTCTTTATGCTGCTGGCTGAGGGGAGGGTGCCAGGTGGCTGTTGTGACGCCACACACACACACACACACACACAGTCTATACACACACACACACACACAC